AGAAGGGAACTCGGGCGACGACACAGCAGGGACCTCGGGTGGTGGCGCAGGAACCGCCAGCACTGGAACCTCGGGGAGTACCGCAGGAACCGCCGGCACTGGCACCTTAGGGGGCGGAGCATCAGCCGCCAGCACAGGAACCACGGGGGTGGAGCATCAGCTACAGGGACAGGAACCTCAGGGGGCAGAGTTGGGGATTGCCCCTCCAGTGCGGGCGCGGTTTCAGGGAAAGGAACAGCATTGACCTTGGGTGCTGTAGCCCCCCCCTATCACGGGAGCCTGGTCTGTCTTCAAATGGAGCAGACTCCTCAGGTTCTCTGCTATACTATCCAGCTCACGTGGTGGTGAAGTTGGGATGAACCTAGCAAACTCCCCTTGAAGCTGTGTACACAGCTGGGCAGCCTCTGGGAAGTCCCACACTGTCGGATCATCCATCACCCTCCAGAAAAGACCCTGGAGGGTAAAGAACGTCCGAGCCAGGGATGAAGTGGCGGGCAGACAAGCCTCTGGAGTCTTCTCAGGGGAAGAGGCAGCAAAGCGGGCTTTGGGGACACACGTGGAGGTAGCGACAGCAATGTGGGCTTCGGGGGTATACGCGGGTGTGGGCGTGGCCAGGCAGTGCACCTTGGGAACCGGCGTAGCGAAAACTGCGGAACACACAGCAGGGCAGGCACCGGAGACAGAGACGGCCCCTAGGAAGATCTCTGATGTATTTTCCCATCTCCTGTTTCTCCGCTTCTTTTTGCCATCTTTCTCCAGTGGAGTATACGACATGCTACAGTCTGTGACCACCTGCTTCAGGTTAGCCTAATAACAGGATTTTTAAAAAAAACCGACATGGGCAAGATTAAGTCGTAAGAGGTTCTGAATGATGATTTTGATTAATTTTCAAATAATTGCCCAGCCCTACCCTAAGATAGTGTAGCACCGGCGGGGCACATGTCCCAGCATGCCCCACCTGGAATTGTAAATGGCCCTTGTTGTATTGTTGTTGTTAAAGTTAATGGTTGCATTTCCCTATTGTATATGTGTTTCCCTGTGTCTTTTGTGTACCCAGTCCGATCCTAGCATGTATTTAGCTTGTGTAAATCTCCCATTGTGTATGCATCTTGCAGTTCAGCATCTGACAACCTTGTATTTCCCATATGTGTATTTGGTTCGGTGCTTGTTGGGTGGCTATTGTAGTCCTTTTAAGGGCTGTTAATAAAAAGCGTGATTTCCTCGGTAAGCAAGTCTCTATGTCTTTCTGCATCTGCGATGCCTCAGTCCACCCATCTCCACACTGGTGTCAGAAGTGGGATCCCAGAAGTGATCCCGTTGGCATGGCTGAAGCGGGCGCTGATCACCATCAACCATCAAACTTGCTCCAGGTTGGCGGACCTCAAGGTGGCAGAGAAGCGATAACACCTCACGTGAGATGTGAAGCTTGTTTACTGGTGCTCTGGGAGAGGAGGGCACCGGGCTTGCCACTGCTTGCACCAGGGCCTGCGTCAAACAAACAGGGGACACCGGGAAAAGAGAGGCATCCTCCACTCCATCCAGGATGCACCAGAATCACGCAGAGCACCCTGAAGCTGCTCCTGCCTGCCTGCCAAACCCTTGGCAGAGACGACGTCAGCGACTGAGGAGGGTAGACACCACAGTGGACTCTAGCCACTCACCAGCCATCAATGACTTCCCACTTGTCAGTGACGAGAAGCCGCGGGACGACTCCAGCTGCGAGCACGACCAGCAGAGGGAGGTGGAGGTCGCCATGCGTGGCCGGGAGGAGGCGTGCTGTGCTCTGGAGGCCCAGCTGGCCCAGGAGTGCGGCGAGCTGGTGACCTAACCGGAGCAGGGCAAGCAGCTGCATGAACTCCTGGAGCAGGACCTGCAGTGCAGGGCCACCGGACCCTGTGAGCAGGAGGCCCCATGGCAGGACCAGCCTGCCCCACAACACCAGGGCCTCCTAAGCGGGGCAGGAAGAAGGCCCGGGTCCAGGAAGGGGCTGCTCTGCCAGAAGTCTCCAGCAGCCCATTGCGCTGGCTTCTGTAAGGTGCAGAAGAAGGGTCAGCGCTGGGGGGGGATCTGACATGCCAGCACCAGCCAACAGCTAGTCATGCCAGCAACAGCAACCTGCCTCGTCATCGGAGGTGACGTATCGTTGGCTGCCAGCGGACCCCTGGGACTCGTGTTGGAACTGTGGTGGGGACTGGGGGTGGTAGTCGCTGTTGTATTCCTTTTAAGGGCTGTTAATAAAGAGCGTGATTTCCCTGGCAAGCAAGTCTCCATGTCTCTCTGCCCCCGTAATGTGACGCCACAATATTTTTAAACAAAATTTTTTTTCTCATTGCAAGTTATGTAAACATACATGATTATATTTATTTATTTATCATGATGCAATATTTTTCATTGTAAAATGTATAACAATAGCCCCTGTTTTTTCCTTGTTCCTTTGTCCTTTGAGGGCATACAAAGCATGATTTTCATTGCTCCACCATCCCGTGATACATATTTTTCCATTGTTAAATCATCTTTTCAGAATTTTAGGCTAAAACCTCTTTCGAGAGAGTAAAATACTGTCCAGTTCTGTATAATAATGCACAATGTACTGTATTATTACTGCATTTTATGTTTGTAATGTCAATTAAACTTGTATCACGATTGCCTACTTTGGTCAACTGGCTGGAGTGAGATTTTCACTTTGAGACACAGTCTGCACACACAGTTACATCTATGTCGCAGTTTTAATACCTTGTAAATATTCTGTTTGGTTTGCAGACTGTCCCATCAGTTTTGATGTAGCTAATTTTAGGTTTATAATAGAATAATATATATTTGCCTTAAGAATTCTTACATGAGCTTGAGTGATGTGTGAGAGTTGGCAACCCCGATCTATGTAGATGAATATCACATTATATGTGGTCTGTGGATGGTTCATGGTTATCCACAGTTTTGGATTTGGTCATTCTCACGAATGTTAGAGTCCTTCGACAAAAAACGGAAAGTTACAGTGAAATACAGTGAATTTTGTGCAGAGCACAATTACCTGACATTACCTGAACTGTTTAGGCATAAAAAATTATGTTATTTATAGCTCTGACTTAATGATCCCTCATCCATTTTCTGCAAATAGGCATTACTGTTGCCATTTTAAGATCAAATAACAAAAAACAGATAAAATGTTTTTAAATCTTTCAACTTTACTGCAAGTAACCCACAATATACATTCAAGTAATATAGTACAATGTATGTTTATGTCTTCAGTTGTTTTATTCTGCAACAGATGAACTACAGCTGAGGCAAAATCAACATTTTAGACAATAATTTGTCAATCTGTCGTCAAACTAATTTAAAAATTACAGAAAATGGATATGTTACAGTGATGGATTTGTGAGAATGCTCCATATTGTGTTTAAGAACGAACACATTTACTTCACCTTTTTTCCCATAGAACAATTCTGTAAACATGTAAATATGCCTTACCAATAGATATGGTGTAAATCTTAGTATTATTAGTGGCATGGACTAAAAGTTTAGAATGCATTTCTGATAAAATAATAAAATCAACTGTATTGTTCAAACAAGCTTACTGTATATGCTACCACTTAGTCTATGATGTATTTATTATTCTAAACCAATTTCTAGTCACTGTTAATAAAAACCCATAGATCTACCCCATTAAGCATAGGATGGTTACCAATTATGCAAGTGTCCTGAGGTACAATGTTAAATTATAAATAAATCATTTTTTATATGGATATTGGGAACGTGATGCCCCTCCCCTATGTATTTATTATAGGACTAAAAAATAATAATGGACATTTGTCATTCGCCCACCTATATTGGTTTTCTTCATTTTGTATTTATTTGGTGTTGTACTATATGTTATGGTTGTTCATTTTTATACAGATGTTATTGTGTATGGTACTTTATGTTGTCTATTTTTGCCTTTTTGTGTGGTTATTTACTGACAATCTAATCACAGACAATTTCCTCATCAATAAACGTTTTATGATTCATTTAGCATAGATATATATTTTTATTTTATTTATTAGTTATATTTATTTCATCTTGTTAATTTTTTGGATTGTCCTTTTTTCCTTTTTTATAACCATGCATCATGAAGGAGTGACTCCAGGGGAATAATGATCCGAGCAAGTTGATGTGAGCTAACTGTTTACTGGTTAACGGGTTGGTTAACTAGTAAAGTGTGTTTTAGTGGTGTATATACAATTGCTCAACATTTTGAGAATATATAGGTCACTTAAATGTTATTTAGTTTCATCAGTATTTTACTAAAAAAATTTAAAACAGCTATTACTAAATGTCGAATAACGTGTCTTGACTATTAATCTGATTTTACAAATGCGCTTCAGTATAAAATAATGTCTTATTTGTGACATAGTGACACTGTCATTAACTTGGTGAGAGTCAACAGTTGAAAGATTGGCATGTAAACTAATAAGGTATCATTGACCTAGTCACTTAATAGCTAGTTAATAAATATTCCAAGGTAAGCTTGTATACCCTGTTTGTATACAGTTGTCCAGCAAACAAACTTTGAATACAGTGGAGCTACCTGTAATTCAGTCTCAATCCGGTATATATTTGTGTGAACATATTTATAAATATTAATTTGTTCATGTAGTTAATAATGCTACTTAAATGATTGACGCAATTATCCAATTCAGTTAAACCTGGAGAAATGTAATGTATTGCCTTTGTGTTCTTTGGATAACAAGACTTACCAATTTGAAAGTGGACTTATGTAAATAGACTCTGAGATAGATTCTTTGAAATAATATTAATTTAATTATGTGTTTTTAATCCCAACTCATTTGTTCAGCATTACAGTAGCAGGTTGCAGCCATGTGCTGTGGTTATGGATTAATGGATCAATGGATGGATTAGCATAGTCTTCTAAACATAATATGCAGTGCAGCTTCTGTGAACATTGTATGAGCTATTATGAACTGTGTGAATCAGTGCTGTACTTTTGTCATTTTCTTAAATTCCATATTTATTTATACTGCATGACTCCTTATTTCAATGTATTTTTTCTCCTTTACCCAGAAACTAAACAGGAGTTGGAAGACCTTACAGCTGATATTAAAAAAACAGCCAATAAAGTGCGCTCAAAGTTAAAAGGTATGGTTTCATTTGTTATGCGTACTTAGCAACCAGCCATGCTTCTCATCTGAAAAGCCCTTTTGGCAATTACACCAAATCCTCTGAAGATCACTATAAGTAACTGATCTGATGAAATATGAGTAAATCAGTTATTCATGTTTATTTTAGCAGTCTTTTTTCCAAAGCATCATCCATCTTTGAGAAAGTAAGTTCAGACAGGCCAGGGCAGCTGTGGGTTAAGGGCTGATGATAAGATGCATATGAAAGCAATAAATACACAATACCCAATTGAAAATGCAATTAAAAGTGTTTAAAGCTTTTAGATAGAAATGGAATTCCACATATCTTGAAGTCATATGGTCTATGTGCGTAAAACACTTATATATACACAACATATGAAATCTTGAAATGGACAAGAAAGCTGTACTGGGGGGCATTCAGGGGTACCCCTTTGTATGCTGGGTTTCTTGCTGCTCAAATCTTAATAAATTGCACTTGCTGTTTAAATGGACAGTAGTGATTTTAAGAAATCTTGAGAAATTAATATTTCCTACTTTTATTTCAGCGCAGATATTCAAGAATCTACACATTTAATGATGTCTTTGTAAATGATTTGGAGCTATTCTGAACTTTTCTTTGTTCATAAATATTTACATTTGTGTATTTATACATTTTAAATATTTGAAGAAGCTGGTAGAAATTAGTGTTCTAGACTCTTGTCAAAAGTTTGACCAGTATTTCCCTCTTTCATAGCAATTGAGCAAAGTATTGAACAGGAGGAGGGACTGAACAGATCATCTGCGGACTTGAGAATCCGTAAGACACAGGTCAGTCACTCATTTGAATTTTTAATTTTATTATTTTACCTTAATAAAAATGTTTTATTGGAATTAAAACTTGTCTCCATGTTTTAAGATTTTTAATCGATTTAAAATGCATTGTGGGCTAAGTACACTGCCACTGTGTGTCAAGTCTATGGAAAAGCAAGCTTTATTTCTTTTGTGTTGTTTTTATATATCCTGCCTTTCCTCTCTTCCCTGTCAACCCTTAGCATTCCACACTGTCACGCAAATTTGTGGAGGTTATGACCGAGTACAACACCACACAATCCAAGTATAGAGACCGTTGCAAGGACCGTATCCAGAGACAACTGGAGATCAGTGAGTGGCTTTGCACTTTTATTAATCTATAAAAGTAAACCAAAGGTTTTTGTGGCACTGCTTAAAGAACATTGTTTATGTCATTATTCTATTGTTACCTTGCACTCAGGGATAGATATACAGTCCCCTCCAAAAGTATTGGAACAGCAAAGTCAATTCCTGTATTTTTGCTGTACTCTTAAAACATTTGGGTATGACATCAAAAGATGAATATGAGACAAGAGATCAGTATTTCAGCTTTTATTTCCAGATATTTACATCTAGATCTGTTAAACAACTAAGAAGATAACATTGTTTGTAACGGAACACAAAGTTTTTAGGTGAGCATCAAGCCTGCAACCCATTGACATGACCAAACATTTTGCATTCTTCTGTTGTGATGCTTTTCCAGACTTTCACCGCAGCCTCTTTCAGTTGTTGTTTGTTTTGGGGAGTTTCTCCCTTCAGTCTCCTCTTTAGCAGGTAAAATGGGTGCTCAATAGGGTTTAAGTCTGGAGATCGACTTGGCCAGTCTAAAACCTTCCACTTCTTTCCACTGATGAACTCCCTGGTTGCTTTGGCAGTGTGTTTTGGGTCATTGTCTTGCTGCATGATAAAAGATCCCCCGATCAGTTTGGTTGCATCTCTCTTTAAATTGACAGATAAAATGTTTCTGTAGACTTCTGAGTTCATTTTGCTGCTACCATCATGTGTTACATCATCAATAAAGATCAATGAGCCCGTCCCAGAAGAAGCCATGCAGGCCCAAGCCATAACATTACCTCCACCGTGCTTCACAGAAGAGCTTGTGTGTTTGGGATCATGAGCGGATCCTTTCTTTCTCCATACTTTAGCTTTTCCATCACTTTGGTAAAGGTTAATCTTTGTCTCATCAGTCCATAAAACTTTGTCCCAGAACTTTTGAGCGTTGTCTCTGTACTTTTTGGCAAATTCCAGTCTGGCCTTTGTATTCTTATTGGTAATGAGTAGTTTGCATCTTCTGGTGTAGCCTCTGTACTTTTGTTCCTGAAGTCTTCTGTGAATGGTGGATTGTGATACCTTCACTCCTGCCCTCTGGAGGTTGTTGGTGATGTCACTGACTGTTGTTTTAGGGATTTTTCTTCACAGTTCTCACAATGTTTCTGTCATCAACTGCTGATGTTTCCCTTGGTCTACCAGTTTGACGTCTGTTGCTTACAACACCAGTGGTTTCTTTCTTCTTCAGGACATTCCAAACAGTTGTACTGCCTATGGCTAATGTTCATGCAATGTCTCTGATTGACTTTCCGCCTTCTCTTTGTTTCAAAATTGTTTGCTTTTCTCCCAGAGACAGCTCTCTGGTCTTCATGTCGGTTACACCTTTTTAACTATAAATGCAGTCTGCACAGGCAAAACCCCAAAAAAATTTGAGATTCAGAATATTCTCTGCATTAATTTACAGGTTACATTTTCATCCTGCTCATGTCATGAAAAACTTACAAATATAAATTTATGTTTGGAATATAGCTGTTGCTATCTGTATGACTTTAATCATTGTTGTAAAACTTTCATGAAGGCACCAGAGACTTGCATTTTGGTTCAAGACATAAGTGAAGAATGGGCAAAATGAAAGACATAGCCTCTGAAAATTGAAAATTATTTAATATTCTACAGTCATTCAGTTTCAGCATATGCAGAAACACTTCTGAGTATGGTAGTCAATGATTAGCTGTGTGATTCCAGGTTGCAAGTATGCCATATAAGACTAAGTATAAAACAATTCAATGCATGAAGCTTATTCGGATATTGATGGTGTTACATTTTGTTACTCTTTGCTGATCCTGCTATTTATAAAAAGGTCAACAAAGTATATAAAAGCTTCTAGAAAGCTCTCTGAAGGCCTGTTAATGATGCAGTTAGGGTCACTTTCTTTGTCACCCGAGACTGATGTTTTGAATCTTACTACCAGATTAAACCCAGCCCAGAGGCTCATGCAGAGAAAGCAATGACAAGACTCCTGAGAAAGTAGAATTACAAATTCACAAATAGATTTACAAATTCACCTTTTCGGCTGCTTCATTGTAGTAGGTTGACATGGTTATAATGAATCATCTTCTGTCTTAAATTTTTTTATGATAATTGGTAACATGCTTACTAACTACTGTATGCTTATTAGGGTAGATGTATGGGTTTTTATTAACAGTGACTAGTAATTTCTTGATTGACCCAGTCTGGGAGTAATCAGGCCAGAAATTGAACTCAGCTTTCTAATAATTCTGGCTGATCACAGTTAATTCATTATTTACCATTCTCTGGAGTCTTTTCAGAGTGAAGGAATCCATTCCACCATACCAGACTATGACAGAACATGCCAGGATGCTCTCTATGATGAAGGTGAAGATATGTACAAGGAGACGACAACTGACACTTAACTTCTTCAGTTGCCTGAAGAAATATAGTCTCTGGTTTGCCTTCTTGATGAGGTGTTCTGAACTGATCTTCCATTTTAAGGAGCTGCAGACGGAGGTGCCCAGAAATTTGGAAGAATATGTTACTGTTATTTGGTGATCGTTGATACGGAGTGGGGCTTTCTTCTTCTGTGCATGCCTGACGTCCACAGTGCTCTCAGAAGTTTTGCATAAATTGATATATATTGGTCATTGCCAGTACACCAGGCAACTTCCCTGTCCACCTCTTGGTGATATTATGCTTCATTGTTGTCAGATGGTATCATCTGCATATTTGAGAATTTTTATAGTGCTGTCCTGTGATGAGCTCTTTTGTGAACAAGGAAAAGAGAAGTAGGAATAGGAAACAGTCTTGTAGTACCGCAGTGCTGATGGTCAGGGGAGTGGGCATTAAACTGTTCACCTTGACGGACTGATGTTGGCAGAATAGGAAGTGCAGAAACCAGTGGCACAGAGTGGTGTCACTGTCCATCTCCATTAGATTTTTGAAGAGTGTGACATGAGTGGGTTGACTGTATTGAAAGCTGAACTAAAGTCCATGAGCAGCACATGTGTACAGGTATTGGGTGTCTCCAGATGCTGCATAATGTAGTAGAGTGTAGTGTCTTCAATAGGGATGTAACGATACACTCAACTCTGGATTCGATACGATTCACCATACGAGTCCACAATACGATTTTTCTCACGATTTTTTAACAGATTTTTTTTAACAAAAAATTGCAAATCAAAATAATTAAAAAATTAATCTTCAAATAAATAAACGATAATGCTTTTATATTGCATTCATAAAACGTTCAGTACACCTTCATAATGTATTCATTAAGTATTCAGAAATCATTCATAAACATCATGCATGTATACCTTTACATCCCATTAACAGCTGTAATATACATTAATACCAAATATTATATAATAATAACAAACATTATAATTGCATAATCATGTAATGTTTGTTATTAATGTATATTAAAGCTATTAAGGGATGTTAAGATGTTAAAGTGTACTTGCATGCTGCTTATGAATGTTTTGTCAATGCATTATGAAGGTGCACTGAATGTTCTAAAAATGCATAATGAATGCATTATGACGGTGCACTTAATATAAAGCATTACCTTAAACTAAGGCTTGCATGTGCAACTTTTTAGCGCGGTTTACCCTTTCACTCTGACAGTGGTGAATTGAGCTCACTGTGGTGCCGGTGGACATGCTGAAGCATGTTCGTTGTGCTATTTGTGTATGTTATCAGTCTTTTACAATGTTTGCATGCAGTTCGTATTGTCTGTGCTTTTCTTGCCGTTTTCGGCTTAACACCGCCCCTTATCAATTTAACTTTTAATCCCATTGGGCTAGGTTTTCTCGTTATAACGTAATATTTTCATGTTATAACGTGATACAGTTTCACGTTATCACGTGATATGATTTCTCGTTTTAATGTGATGTTTTCACGTTATAATGTAATATTTTCACATTATAATGTGATAGTGAGAATATTTTTTATTATGTCGTGGCAGTAATACGCTTCCGTAGTGAAGTACTCCTAGTAGCGACTTATTTTCCACATCAGCCGGTTTAGATCATCATACATTTACATTGATTTTTTAACCAATTCGCGATTCATCGTTCCATGCCTAGTCTTCAACAGACCTTTTGGGGCAATAGGCACAGTGGATCCAGTAATAAGGAATTCTAGACTTGCAATGACACTTAGCAATAAATTCAAATGCTTTCATAGCCACTGGCATCAGAGCACCAGGTTGGTAGTCATTAAGAGAGCTGGGATTTTTCTTACGGGGATTATACAGGGCATTTTAAGCCAATGTGGCACTATGCACTGGTGGGAAGAGTGGCTGAAGATGGCTGTATTCATAGAGGCCAGCTGAGAGGCACAGCAGCTAAGTACAGCAAGGGTTACATTGGCAGTTCACACCTTTTCCTCTGTGACAAGAAAAGGGGGTATGGGGGAGGTAAGGGTCCAGAAGGTAGTAATATACCTATGGTGTTGAAGTGTAGAAGTCATTAAACTTGGTTGGTAGGTCTTGGTCATCTTCATGAGGAGAAGCTACAGTTTTGACATCCTCTGGAAGTTTTTTTCAAGTAATCTTTGACTTTAATTCCTGATCCAATTTATCAACATTGTTTGATTTTGCCTCCTTTATGGCAGTGTTTAGTTTATGTTTTGTGTGCAGTGGTGGTCTAATAGTTAGGGAAGCGCACTTGTAATTAAAAGATCCCTGACCAGCAAAGTACCACTGAAGTACCCTGAGCAAGGTACCACCCCAAGCACTGCTCTCTGGGTGCTGAATTAGCTGCCCCCTACTATTCCATATATAGGTTAAATGCAGAGGACACATTTTGTTGTTGTGCACTGTGTACTATGGTGTACCATACAACTAATCACTTTCAATTCAATTTTTATTCATCATTATCTTCATTGATGAGAGCAGTGTTTTTCATACTTCATAGGCTTTGCACTTCTTTTGAAAACTAGGTTTTGATGTTTTTGGGGGAATGCACATTTCTTCACAGGAGAAAGAATTGAATAAAAATATCCCAGTTGGTGCAGTTACAACAGCC